AAAAAAAAAAAAAAGAAAGATATTTTGATTAGGTTTGCTAATTCTTTAAAAAAAAAACCAAACAACCTTACCTTCAATTTCAGAAAAATTTCAGGCTAACCAGCCCCAAAGTGAAGCTGCTAAATGTGAAACTGCTCTGGGTATTCAGCAGGTTGGTGTCTTCCTTCCGCTTCAAGTTTGCCCTTCAATTTGGTGCTGCCAACCTCAGTATGGGAGAACGCGGCAATTAAACTCTGCGAAATGTAGTCTTGGCTAGTAGGTGAATTAGCAAACACTTGGTTTTTTACAGTTCGGTCATGCCCAACTCAGGTACTCATAAATCGTTAGTTAGCTGCCAGAAAACATGGAAATTATGACAATATTATTTTTAACCGTTAATACAGGGCTCTTTGTAGTGGCCTCTGAAACTTTAGAATAGCTTTATGCTACCAGCCTGAGGGTTAAAAATTTCTTTTTACTTGCTGTGGTTCTCATGAAATCAAACCAGCTGTAAAACACTGCCCACTTTTATGTTTAAAATAGCTGAAACCACCAAGATTCCTGTGGTTTCACATGAAACCATATGCTCTCGTCTTTGTGATGAGTGCCTACTGTTGTAAAGTAAGGGTACAGGGCATAGACAGACAGCTCAAAGGGTGTATTTTTCACCTCAGCGAAGGGCAAAAGCTGATCAGAGCTCGACCTACACCAGTTAGGGAGGAGCTTGGATTTTTTTGTTCTTTGCTGTGTTGCTACTTTTCATGACTTTATCATTGGACTCACGGTGTTTCAAGTTTTTTTGAGCTATAACTCCCAGAAGCTGTGCAACTACATAGAAATTGCCACTTTAAAAAATGCAGCTCTCACCCATGTTGAAGTAAGTTTAAAAGTACAGCATGGGCACCCAAATAAGAGAGCACGTATCAGGAAAAAGCTAACCTATTTTTCCCCTTGATTTTACAATTTCAGAACGTGTGTTTGGACCGGGTATGTGTGTGTGGTGGAGCAGCACTTTCAAGACTACTTAATATTACTTGCAGGTGTATACTCCAGAGCTCAGTACAAATGATGATGAAAGACCCTTTCTGCCCCACTCCAAAAGCTGGCACCAAACAAGTATTTAAAATAATGCTACTGTGCAACCTCTGTGTTTTGGAACTTCCAGTCGCCTCACATTTGTGACTAATTCCAGTTGTCTTTGGATTAACAATATTAAATGCAGATTGATAGCATCTCCCCTGTTGATTAAAACCCAGGAGTTACCAAAAATGACAAGAAGAATCCTAAGTCACTTGTCCTACTGTAAACCCTGCTCATACACAGGTTATCTACAGAAAACATTTTCAGATTCAGCTGAAAACAAAAGACAGGCTCTCCTCTTAGCTATCTAGGTGACACTCTTATGATTTCTCTAAGAGAAAACAAACAGCCCAAAGATTTCAAAGCAGCTTATTTACAGGTTTTACTCTCAGGTCTTTTACAAAAACAAAGTGTAAATGCTGCCTTCCACAACAAACCCAAAGCGGGTGAGCTGTCTGGGATTTTAGGGAGAACGAATGACCACTTCGGATGGAAAAAGAGGAACTGTAGCTGGGAGAAAGCTTTTATTCATTTATTCATTTTTGATTGGGCTAATTCTCCAAATCTGCGCGTACAGGTCACACTCATAGCAAGCTACGTCACCTTACTCGGTCAACATTTCTTTCAGGAAGATTGTGCCATAGTTCATTTAAAGCTTCTGCAGATTTCTCTGCATATTAGTCTGTTGGACCCTCCTTGCAATCTTCTGCTATTTCAGAAATATAGAGACTCTGGAAATGCAAGAAGACCCTGGACTTTGTGATTATTCTGCATCATCAGAAAACTACCCAGTCACTACATCTGGATCTGAGATACCCTCCCCTCTACTACCTTGATTCAGAGACTCTTGTACGTAGCATTGGTTTTGTAAACATACTAACACAGGCATTCCCAAAGAATATCATCTTGACTGAGGTCAAACTAAGGGATCCAATGCTGAGTAAGGTTACACTACACCCTGATTTGAACAGTTTTTTGGTTATTCGGTTTGATTATCAAACACTGTTTAGGTTGTTTCCATGTTTGGAGCACAATGCAAAGAAAATGCAGACTCAGACAAGTATTATTGACATAAATACAGTAGGGCACGTTCATGAGGCTGTATGGGTGAATTATGTTCTGATTCTAACATCATTAGAAGGTTGATGAGATTGTACTTCCTCTAACTTGACATACCCTATGATAGATGCCTCTTCACCTTTTCTCAGTTGGAAATGTCCTCTACCGCATGATTAAAGTAGTGAAGAAAGGATCGAGTCATATTCTTACTAGACAAAATGCCTTTTTATTGGAGCTATATTCAATATCTTCTTCTTATCAGTGTGGAAACTTCAGAAATTTTGGTAACTTTATTAGAAAGAATTCATGTGCTTGCCAATGCTTGCCGCTCTATTGCTGACAGAAACTGTGTGTAACTACAGAGGCTGACACAGCACAGAGGGGAATGTTTCTATCCCAAAGGTAGAGAAACCTCCAATATAAAGTGAGGCGTCCACCAAGCTCATGATAGTGAACGCATCATAGAATATTAAAATATCCTGAGCACCTCCTTCCATTCTAACAAATCCACCTCCGAAACCTCTCAGTGAAAAATCATTATAGGTAAGGCCAAGTCACTGCATTATCCCAAAGAGAATAAATAAAACGCATTCCAAAAATGATTTCTTATTGCATATCATCACTTTATTGATATAGATGAATGCCCCAAACGATGCTGAACATGTTAGTGACACAGCATGACCTCCGATAATGTCATTCATTCACAATTTTCTTGAGGAAGTAAGTTAACATTGTGAAATTAGGCTGCTCTTCATGTAATGACAGCTAACATTCTATGTATATGATTGGTGTACTGAAGAAAGAGTAACAAAAAGACAATGAAAACAGGGGCAGAACAAGTGTAAAATAAGCTGCCTTCTTTAAGAACATTTTTTCTTATTATTGTAATCATGGAAGATCTTTTTGAGAATGAAACACAGTACAAGAGCAAAACAGAAAACATAATGCTTTGTAACAAAAAAGAAGGCCAGCTCCCTTACTGTATAAATAACATGAATAAAGATGAAGCAGCATAGGAACAAGGCATACTGGTTTGAAGGCCGCAAGAGGTCATGGAGTCCTTGGCTAAACTGTGAAAAAAGAAAAAGAGATGCATCATGTTGCATGACTGTGTTCCACCCACGCCCATTTCATACACTTCTCTGAGCACACTTGGCCCTCTCAGGGTATGAGTTCCTAAAAAGTTACTGTGGTATAGGCCAGCATATGAATTTACAGTAAATCAGCTCCTGTGTGTTAGATAGCAGGTGGTACATTCCCACTGACAGCCATAACACAAGCTAGGTTTTCTCTCTCTCAAATGAAGGTTCTGTGACCTCATACTTACTGCAGGAAATAGTGTGAAGGTACACAGAGTAGTTGATGTGATGTAAGTGCACACCTGTAGTTAAGCTTTTGTGTATCCATCCTCCGTCTGTGGCACAACTGTGGCCTGTGTTTTTTACTGCATGGTCATTTCCATACCTTTACACATGCTTATGGGGGAACTTTCAGGTCTTAACTTAATAAAAGGAATCAGCAGTGAATTTGGTTAGTCCAGATGCACGTCAGTCACTTGTGAGTTAACCGTTCTTTAACGGATTTTGTAGCAATGAATGTTATCATTGCGCTTATTTTAGGGAGAAGAATAACTCTGTTGTCCATGAGCACATGTATGAGCGGTAAGGATCACCTACTCAAGTCTAATTTTAAAAGAAGTGACAGTACTACTCAACACAAAAGGATAAAACTTTGCAGCATTGTTCAACATGGAACGTGAATCTGTTTCACTCCCTACCATGTTCAACCCTTTCTCCCTTCCCTGCTTACTGATCTTTTTGCAGCCTGTTGATGAATCTGCTCCATTTTCTCTTCATGAAGCCTTTGCTTTTCATTATCCTCATGTTTATATTTCAGTCTAGCCAGTGCAGAATCCCACCTCATTCTCTCCAACTGAATATCAGCTGCTGTGACCTGCTTGCTGCAGAGCTGTTCCAGCTCCTCTGCTTTGGTGGATACTTCTGGCTGCAAAGCACTGGTTTCTCCCTTCACCCAAGGATCCATAGGGCATTTATCATTCCAGTTTTCCATTGCATCATCTGAGATGTAAGATGATTTTGGCATGTCTCTGATGCCTTCCTGCTACAAATTGGAGAGAAGGAGAATAAATTCATATTCAAGCTGACAGATGTAAACGGAATAGGTTCATCTGACTCTATCTGAATATTTACTCAAGCGATTATTCAGACATTTGTGACGCATCAGTTCTCCAATACCCATCGTTTCCCTTTGAAAAGCCCATTCTAGAGTTAGGTAAGAAACGAATGTTGTCTTGTATATTACAAAGAATATTACATCCACCACCTCAACATTTTGAGGAGGTTAACATTCCCAGGAGGAAGTCATCGATGAGGCCTTCTACAGACAGCTGGAAGTAGCCTCACGATCACAGGCCCTGGTTCTCATGGGAGACTTCAACCACCCTGACATCTGCTGGGAAGACAGCACAGCTAGGCACAAACAGTCAAAGAGGTTCCTGCAAAGCATTGATGATAATTTCTTGACTCAGGTGGTGGAGACGCCAACGAGGAGAGGTGCAATGCTAGACCTTGTACTAACGAACAAAGAAGGTCTAGTTGGAGAGGTGAAGGTTGGGGGCAGCCTTGGCTGCAGTGACCATGAGATGGTGGAGTTCAGGATCCTAC